AAATGTATTGAAGTTGTCATCTGGTGTGATTAGAGGAGGAAAAGGACATTCAAAGTATTTTTATGACCCCTGTCTTGGTGTATTTTTATAGTGTGGGTAGATTAAAAAAAAAATAAATCTTTGCAACAAAGTTATTTCATGCATGTGATGTGAACTCAGGGATTTTCAGACTTGCAGAGTGTTTTGCCCGTCTTACTGTAGTCGTAGACACTTTGCTGCAATAGTTTCCACATAGAGCTTTCACCTGTTGAAGAAGAATCTCCTATGAACAAAGCAATTGACAATACTATAATTTTGTCAGATGTTGTCAGAATGACAGCATTCATTGCAACATGTCTCAGGATAAACTTTTCAGTGGAGAAGAATGACATTGCTTAATCTTGTTTTGCTTTGGTAGGTAAATTCCATGTGTAATTGATTACTGTTGCTTTGACTCTCTTTCTCTCTCCCATCCAATATCTTCACTGTGATGGATGTTTGTGGCTAAGCCTGGCTAGCCATAGCCAGCTGCAGTTTCAAAACTGAACAGCCTTGCTGATATGGTGTTGTGCCTGATGTAGTACGTCATGCTGAGGGCATGCATACTCAGTGAGGCATAGAAGCTCCTCAGGTACAACACTTCAAAGGAGTTAAAATAACCATGGCTGATATCATGGGGGCAAATAGGCACTTAACTAGCTGTATCTGAACTGGGATATTTTTACTTACCTACAGTCTGCGTCAGAGATAGAACTAGGATCTGAAAGACCAGGTTTGGGAGGACTGGGAAAGACTATCCCTTGTCAGTGAAGAGAAGGTGCACCCAGAGGAAGTTTGCTAATGCAAACTCCTTCCCACAATGTTGAATTCTTCAGAGAAATGGGAAACTTTAAAGAATCTGCAAGGTCTTTGGTCTTTGAAATTGTCTTGCTTAAGTACCACATAATTTTAGTAGACTAACCTAATGCTTTGGTTTGAAGACTTAAGATCCTGCATCACAGCAGCAGTATGCTATGACAGTCTTCTGGGGAAAAACTTCTGCAGGGTCCAGTCTGAGCTGGTTGTGTTGAATGTCATGAGTAGTTCTCAGATGGCTTAGATTCAGCGAGGAGTGGATGACCTGTAGATATTCTTTCCTAGAGAAGTGTACTCAGTGACTTGCCAGCCTTAAACATGCATGGCCAGTGCAGTAACTCTGAGTGGTACAATTTTTCATTTCAATGAAGACTAATCAGAAGAGAATCAGGTGCATGTCATAGCCCATATGTCTATATTAACAACAGTTTCCTAATATAATCTTTTGAAGATGCCTTATTGTTTGGAGTAGAGATATAATGTGTAAAGTGTACATAATTTCTATTTTATCATGGGAAAGGGGATATTACTGCTATTTTATAGCATATCTTTTTATGACTTAAGAGATTTGAAGGCAACTTGCAAATCTAAGCACCAGTCAAGGTTATGGCTAAGAGGTTAAAAGAGAAATCCTGGATTTCCTTAAATGCATTCTAAAAAACCATCTAGATACCATGTGACCTGCCTCTGAATCACAAAACTCCAGCATGTCCCTGGTAAAAATGTTTGTTACTTCTGTTGTTGAAACTTCTCAGCTGCTGAGTCAGTGCAACTCCCTAGATCAAGATAGCAGATAATGGCTCAGAGAGAGAGGACCAAAAAGAGCTAGCTGAAATGCCAGGCAGGGGGCTGAAAGGAAAGTGCTTCTACATCATCTACGTGTTTCAGAACCTTTTTCATCCAGAGCTGGAGACTTCCTAGTGACTGGAGTGGAAAAATTATGCAACAGTTCGCCATAGATTTTTTCGTTTGTGAAGTGGGTTCAGTTTTGATGATGCCCTGATTGAGCCTTTCCATATAGTTTCCTTTCCATATCGTCCAGTAATCTTGGTGGCCTGTTTGGGAATCAGGACTCTCTTTATCCCTAGACATTGGGGTGCATAGCTGTGAGGTCTGTGACCAGAATTTCAAGGATCCAGGAACCTGCAGCAGCCTGCCAGGGTGACTCTTGGAGATGGTTCTCCCTTCATTTTAAGCAAGGTTTGGAGGTTTGGGGCAGATTTTTCAAGTACATAATTTTGAAATATCTATCTTTAGTTCTATTTACAAGTCCAAATCAGCTTATTGCACTTGTTATCTGGGTTCTGATAGTGGCCAATCCCAGGTGCTGAGGAAGATGCTGTAAAGTGCCTTAAAATACCAGCTGTGGAACTCATCTGCTCACAGGTTTCCTCCTGCCCTGGACCAGGCACATGGGGGCTATCTGTTTTCTGAAAGAACCAGAAAGTTACATGTTGTCTGTTAGTTGTATTTAAAAACCCCTTGAAGCCTGAACAGCATACATTTTAAAATGCTTTTGAAATTGTTGACAGCATTCCCTCATCTAATGGAGCACAGTGAACACTGTCATTTTTATATTTACTGTACAGTATTTCTGCTAACAAACCCTCTGAAGTTACCAGGTGCACAAAATACACTGGGTAGTGCTTCTAAACCTAAGCAGTTGCTGCATTTTGCCTGTTTCAGTGGTGGAACTGAAGCTGAATAAATGCAGCACAAGTATTTTTTCTGAATACTGAAATGAATGGATTAGGTCACTCTTTTACTGTCTTTGTGTTTCCTCTGTAAACTTTGGAGATCTGAGTTTGCTGTAGTTGTTTGAATCAATTTTCCAAGCAAACATTTGTAGAACAAAATTTATAGTGGATAGAGGTTGTTTTCTTTTTCTTTTTTCTTTTTCTCCTCCTTATAATGTGGATTTTGCAAATAAAGTTACTGTGGGGTTTATCTAACCACTTACTCCTAAGGAGCAGTGTTACAATGCCCGTTGAAGCATTTTAGGCATACACAGAATTTACAATCAATCCAGAAGAGAACATGGCTGGAATAAATTTAAATAGTGAACATGGTTCTGGAAACCATTATGTAAAAAAGGACTTCAGCAAAATCTAATTATTGGAAATTGCAGTTTCATGAAAACTGAGTGTGTTTAAAAAGGACTAACTTTAAAGTTGTAAATATGTTTAATTGATTTGTAGTCTGGAAGCATTTTTTACTGTAGGCAGTTTACTTTTTGTGGCAGCTTTTGTGATTTTTTCCCTTTGCAATACAGCTCTCAGATAGCAGCCCCTTTTTACTCATGAGAATATGCTTTTTCTTCTTTATCTTATTTCAAAATGTAAGATGAAAATGTATTAGTTCTTTTTATTTAATCATACAAATTTAGTGATTTCTTCTTGCTTATTTTGTCTGTGAGATATAATTTACTATAACTGGTAATGCAGAAACCCAAGCTCTGCAACTCAGTTATGCTTTCTCAGCTGCTGCAGTCCAGGATATCCAATTGAAGATGGGACCAAAAAGGATGGAGGCTGCATACTACCATGGAGGATGTCTGGTCCACAGAAACCGTGTGGAGATAAAGAGATTTTGTGGTGATGGCTTTCCCTTCATTGCCCTTTTTTGTAGATTGGAGTGACAGTGGTTAGCTTCCAGTCAGCAGGGACCACCCCAGACTTCAAAGACCTTCGGTAGATGGTCAAGTGAGGTCCTGCCATAACATCTACTGTCTTTTTTAGTACTCTGGGTTGAATCCCATCAGGATTGTGAACTTGTGAACATTCAGCTGTTACAGCTGGTTCCTTACAATGGAACAATCTTTGCAAGATGGCTGTGGTCATGATTTTGCATTCGAGATCGTATGGATCTTGTAAAATGTGTCTGAATTTAAGGTTGCGATAACTGACCTTGGCTTAGTTAAAAAGTCGATTTGAGATTTGCAGAGGTAGAAGAGGAAAAGAGTAGAACTGGCAAGACTTAAGGGCATGGCTAATGATGACAGCTTTTAAATTATCTACTTTTCAAAACCTGGAAGTTAGAGTGGGATTCCTAATTCTCAGCACTCAGTTCTTGTCCGTGAACAGACCAAATGTTTTTACCTGCTCCTGCTCGTGTCTTACAACTATGCTTCTACTGGGAGATGCAGAAAGGTTTCCTGTATCCCAGCTACAGTCATGTCTTGGCCCCATTCTAAGATGTAGTCTTTCCCTGCCTCTGTCTCTCCCTTGCTCCTGACAACACTGGCATGAAAGCCAAAGGGGAGCTGCAGTGTTTTCTCACACATGCCCTGGTGTGGATGGCTGAAGGCCCCAGAACTGGAGACTGCACTCTGAAGGGTATCTTGTAGAAGACATAGCAGATAGGAGATTTCTATTTGTATCTCCTACTGTTATTCCAAGTTGTTATTCCAAGATTTTGCTGTCATCCAATGTTCAGACCATGATGATGTTGTAAAATGTGTGTCTGTATGGTTGCACACGAGCAACTTACTTTCATTTTACTTGCTTTTAAAATTAGGACATCTCCTTTAAAATAGCGTCAAGATTTTAAATTCAAAAGATCAGATGTTCTAAATATGGCAGGCGTCTTGCGGGAAATACGGTATATATGGTCCTATGGTATCAGTATGTGGAACAGTGGCAAGTCTGTGGCTACACAGATAAAAACAGTTCTGTCAATCTCCAAAATAGGAATATTTGATTTTGTAATTTGGATTGTTCTTTGAAACCCAGTATCAGTCTGATGGTAACTAAGTTGGATTGTCTTACTTTGTTCTTTGGTGTCTTACACAATTTTTATCCTTTGCTTTTCTGTTTGCTTACCATTAATTACATTTTTTCTATTCATGTGTTAAATTTTGTTTTGATTCGAAGGGTATGTTACCAAATACGAAAAATGCTAAGTCGAGCATGCTTTCCATCCAAAATGCCTAAGTAGTATATACTTCCATCCATAATTTGACTGAAAATGCACATAAAAATTTCTAATCAATATGCTACTTACGCACAAGTTGTTTACCTTTGAAGGTTGCAAAAAAGGGCTCTGAAGGTTTTAAGGTGCAAAACTTTCTGCTTTAAGAGGCATCTTTTATTTTTGGATTTTACATGTACATTACTAATGAAACATTCATTTTACTGATGTATGACCATGACCTTTTATTTCCTCAGCCATCATGTACGTAATGGGAGCACTTGGTCCTGCAGCTGGATACTTGCTAGGAGGACTTCTTATTGGTTTCTATGTTGATCCTAGGACAACTGTTTATATTGACCAGAATGATCCCCGATTCATTGGAAACTGGTAAGGATCAAACATTTTTCGAAACTAATCTTTAAATGGACAGTAGGGAATTGAGGTAGGTTGGGAAGTCATATCCCTCATGGGGGGATATTCTTGTTTAAGGCTGTAGAAGGAGGCCAAGGAAGAGGAGGTTTCTGACGGTTACTACACACTAGCCTCTGACAGAGGAAATGTTTGCCACAGAAGCTCATGGGTGCATTGCATAGAAAACCTCCTGCTTCTGGATGCTTCAGGACTGTCTCTGACCACTGATGGCTGACTGGGGGCTGACTGTCGCTGACAGCCACTGGCGGCTGACTGATGGCACTCAGCACAGGGATGGCAGGACAGGATATTGGTATTGTGGAACATCATCAAGGATCGCTGTTGACCAGGGCTGAGCCCTTCCTGCTGGAAGATGGATTAATCCCTTATTTGATATTCTAAAGCAGGCAGCATGGAACACTGAGCTCTGCTGCCCAGATAAGAAACAGTAGACTTCATTTACCCTGCTCCAGAAGAAGGAGATAGAATGGCATCAGAACATTTCCAGTCTTGTTTCTCAGGGAGATGGCATGTGTTTAGGCAGCAGATGATGTAAACCATCACATTATTTTCTAGTAAATAGTAGGCTCCCAACAGCACTGAAATGTAACAGATGTAATTGTTGGCTGATGTCTTTGGGCAGCCTTTGAGATATGACCTCTTTGGAAATGTTTCTTTGAAGAAGCAGGTCTTTAGGAGGCTTTAACTGTGTTTTCTTGGATAGTTCTTAAATCTACCTTGAAGTTCTCATGCAAGCCCAGGAAAGACTTAAGTTCATTATCCCAGGGAAAGACCTCTGGTTTGTAGGTGTAGGGTGCAGCATGCGTTCTCATGCACTGGGTCAGTGTTTGTCACTGAGCCATTGCAGTCAGACCATATCCATTTCTATTTATCCTGCAGTGATCTCCTGACAGTTTGATGAGAAACATTCTGTCTTTGGAGTGTTCTTAAAGATATTTGAAGATTTAGGCCTGCTTTATTTGTCTTAGTCCAAGAGCATTGCTGCACAAGGCTGCCTACCCAAATTTTCAGGGAGAGAAAGGCAAACTTGAGTGCTCAGTTAACCTGTCACCTTGGGGTTAACAGATCTATGCTCTCATGTATGTACTGACTTACCTCACAGAAAAGATTCGTCCTGTGGATGTTCTGTAGTGTCAAAAATGTTCTTTAACTATTCTTGAATAAAAGATTTGAAATAAAAGCAAAATATGATACATTCTTTGTAAAACTAGTATTTCATATAAAACTCTGATGTTTCATGTATTTTTAAGGACATGTCAGAACTGGTGATCAGCATCTGCTCTTTTCAACAGAAACTGTGAACAGGCCCATAAATGTATTTGTTAATTGAAATCAGTGAATACATCTGTACAAATCATCTGTACAAATGAGGAGTAAGCTTTGACTTTATCTATAATGCTACCAGTGATGTAACTGCCTTATCATGTGGGCATACCTGTGCGAGTTTTAGCTTAAACAGCTCCAGTGAAGGTAAAATAACCAAAGCAGCATGGACGCATCAGTTTGACACTTCTTGGGCCATTTGCACTACGCTCTGTGGGTGGCCAATGCTGGTTATTTAAAGCTAGCTTTGATATATATGCAGTGTTGTCATAGCCAAATGTGTGAGAGAGATTGGTCAAAAAAATGGCTGCCCTTGTTCATGAATTACAAGCTTAACTAGCCTCCTACAAAAGGAGTGAGTGGCAGGGATGGATACCCAGTGCCAGGGATGGATCCCCAGCATCCTATGGGAATACTGTAACTGCTGAGCTGCATGGCAAAAGTGATGAGAAGTCATAACCATTTCTGTAGGCAGGCTTTAAGAACATCTACTGTACAAGGCCTTGCAAGCAAAATAGGTAAAAAAGCCTAGTTTGCACATTCAGACTTTATGCCAAATTGCTAAACAGAGTTTCTATATCTCCAAGGTTTAATGTCACCTGAATAAGTATGTTGCTGATTTCAACTTTGCACAGGGTGCCAGCAGAAGTATTGCAAATATGATTGAAGCAAGAGCAGGAAATCAGCTGTCATAGGCTCTCAGCAGGCAAATTGTATTCTAGCCAGTATAGAAAAGTAAAGTCATTCAAAGTTTCCTTTCTCCATCATATTGATTAAATCTATAGAGTCTGGCTTTCCCTGAAGGGTGTTTCAGGTGCTTGTATTATTCTCTCATTGGCTATCTCACTTTTAATTCTTAAATTTCTAAAGAGTATCCCCTGCTCAGATCTCTGGCAATTTGTTTCACAGGCTGTGGTGGCCTCTCATGAAAGTTTGGTGGTGTTCATACCATCTGCGCCTCATTCTCTTTTCTCTTTCTGAAGCTTTGTCTACCCATTAAAATGACAACCATCATGGTGTGAGGATTGGTCCTTTGTCCCTTAACCACTCACTGCCTGGTTGCAGAGAGCTCTCTAAGTATAGACTTTCTTATTTTTCAGCAGTAAATAGATTTCCACTAAAATCTATTTTTGGGGATTGTAACATTTTCTATTTTTTTTTTATGTAATCTAACAATTTGAAATATAAGAATAGCTTAGCACTTACTTCAGATGACACACTTAAAAAAGCAGGGTGCGGTTGAGATAAGTTAATGGGCAGTCTTATTTGAGATTTCTCAGCCTTGTGTCCTATGAAGTGAATTAGTGTCTTTTGTTCCCATCTTTTCTTTATTATAGCTGTAAGGTTTCTAATGTAACTTATTGCAGGGAGCCAGTAAAAAAAAACAACCCACATTATTAAAGGAGGTAATGATGACAGGCAAAATAGTGAGTACAGCAACTATGATACATGGCACCAAAAATTGCAATAAAGCCTATTTTTTACTTAAGTTGGTCCTTTCTAAGAGGTGTATTGTATGTATGCAGGACAGGTAACTTGGTTCATCTCTTGTGAAACTCGATAAACAAAGCAAGTAGTTATTTCTCAGGGTTATTTCTGACTTGATTCTTCCTTGTTTTTCAGAGAACTTGGGCTTGTGCTCCTGGGTTTTACACACCTGGGCTTCCTGTAGGTGCTGCAGGCTTTTAAATTTGAGGCCAGCTGTCTATGCCAGCCCATCAAATGTTTAAAAGTGCTTTTATTCAAATGTGGTAACTGTAGGGATATCTGTTAGAAATCATCCACCACAAGGCCAAGTGCAAATTGTCTTTGAGAACTATTAATATGTTACATAGGGATCTCATTAGTTGTGGAGTAGCCCTTGGCGGTCTGTCAAGTGCTTTGAATCAAATTTTCTTTTGCTGACACTTGTCTGAGCATTTGCCTGGTTCTGAATCTGTTTAATACTTGGATCTTCCCATATCGTCTTTCATCATCATTGCACACAAGAAGTTTAAAGGAATTCCTCCAGCACTATCTAGTCCTTCCTTAGCTTTAATTGCTTTTATTTGAGGTCCTAGGGCTTGTGCACATGCCTTTGAGGTATTCTGCATATTTTCTTTGACTTTAGAAGACAGAAAATCAAGGGCTTTTTCATTAGTACAGATCCTGTTCTGACCTCTCATTTCCCATTGTAGGTGTCCTTATTATAGAATCATAGAATAGTTTGGGTTGGAAAGGACCTTCAAAGGTCATATTATTTTTGATATTGTCTTTTGTCTGTATTCCAATTCTTTGATATTTCTCCAGGAAGATGTGAAGTGTAGACAGTGCAGGTAATTTCATCCAGTGCTGCATTTGTGACATCTTCAGCACTTGGTATGCTGCCATAACAGTCCCTCTGGATTTAAATTTCATTTCGTGCTATATCAGCCCTGTCTCCTTTGCTGTTTCCTCCTGAGTGGGTGGTTTCAGATTTCTATGTATTATTGCCACAGTTTGGTTTTTTGATCAGTGTCATTTCAGCTTCTGACTTTGAGTTCCTAAAAGGGATGTTAGTTCATTTTTATACAGTCTAGTGATTTATTCCCTGTCTGATAGTGCTGACTAATCCTCCTAAAAGTCTGCTTTCAAATCCATGTATGTTATCAGCTAAAATGAATGGAGGATTTTCTGTTTACATAATATCAAAACTAGTCAAAACTTTCAGTCACTTAGATTTGCCTTGCAAAAGCTTCCCTTCCAATCTTTCTAACAAAAATGGCAATACACATGGCTGTTTGTTTGGTGTTTGTCTTTGCATTTATTTTTGCTGTTTACCACACAAACCATTACACATACATAGGAATTTCATGAAGCACATTGTCCTGGAAACCATGCTAGGGCACTTGAAAAAACAATAAGGTGGTTGGTGACAGCCAGCATGTCTTCACTAAGGGGAAATCGTACCTGACCAATCTGGTGGCCTGTCGTGGGCCTACAGAACTGATGGATAGGGGCAAAGCAGTTGAAGTTGTCTGCCTGGATTTGTGCAAAGCATTTGGTGCTGTGCCACACAACATCCTTGTCTCTAAATTGGAAAGACATCAATTTGATGGATGGACCACTCTGTGGATAAAGAATTGGCTGGATGGCCACATGCAGAGGGTTGCGGTCAATGGCTCAGTGTCTAGCTGGAGACTGGTAACAAGTGGTGTCCCCCAGGGGTCGGTGTTGGGACCTGTGTTGTTCAACATCTTTGTCAGTGACATGGACAGCGGGATTGAGTGCGCCCTCAGCAAGTTTGCCAACAACACCAAGCTGTGTGGCTCGGTTGATACGCTGGAGGGAAGGGATGCCATCCAGAGGGACCTGGACACGCTTGTGAGGTGGGCCAATGCCAGCTTTGTGAAGTTCAAGCAAGCAGAGTGCAAGGTCCTATACCTGGGTCAGGGCAACCCCATGCACAGCTACAGGTTGGACAAAGAAGTGATTAAGAATAGCCCTGTGGAGAAGGACTTGGGGGTGGTGGTTGATGAGAAGCTTAACATGAGCGCTTGCAGCCCAGAAACCAACCGTATCCTGGGCTGCATCAAAAGGACCATGACCAGCAGGTCAATGGAGGTGATCCTGCCCCTCTACTCTGCTCTCGTGAGACCTCATGAGAGTACTGCATCCAGCTCTGGGGTCCCCAACAGATGAAGGACATGGATCTGTTGGAGCAAGTCCAGAGGAGGGCCACGAAGATGATCCAAGGGCTGGAGCACCTCTCCTATGAGACAAGCTGGCATAGTTGGACTTGTTAAGCCTGGAAAAGAGGAGGCTCTGGAAAGACTTCATAGAAGCCTTCCAGTGCATAAAGGGGGCCAACAGAAAATCTGGAGAGGACTTTTTACAAGGTCATGTAGTGATAGGACAAGGGAGAATGACTAAACTGACAGAAGGTAGATTTAGATTCGATATTAGGAAGAAGTTCTTTACTGTGAGGGTGGTGAGGCCCTGGCACAGGTTGCCCAGAGAAGTTGTAGATGCCCCATCCCTGGCAGTGTCCAAGGCCAGGTTGAACGGGGCATTGAACAGCCTGGTCTAGTAGAAGGTGTCCCTGCCCATGGCAGGGGTGTTGGAACTTGATGATCTTTAAGGTCCCTTCCAACCCAAAGCATTCTATGATCTGTAACTCTAAAATCCTACATTCTCTAGATAACACACTATCACTTTACTGGCAATTTCCCAAGAAAGGCAAAGTAAAAGTGAGTATCTACTTCTCAGCGCTTGGTACTGTATAATTACTGAAAGTGAAAAATTACGGGAACTCAAAGCTGACACTGTTTCATAACATTTAGTGGGCTCTGGATTAATACCTTTATGAATAGACAAGCCAACAGAAACATCTTCTAATTAAGGGGTTTAGTGCAGTGAAGGCTCTCACCCACTCCAATCCTTTACTCTTAATGTCAATGTTCCGTATTTTGCAAATATGTCTGTCCAGCCAGTACAGCCTGTAAGAATCACTTTGTTTTTTTCATTTCTTGTAATGCATTAGCTTTCATTTCTGTTCCTGTCTCCTGGCATTAGGTGGAGTGGATTTCTCCTTTGTGCCATTGCAATGCTCCTTGTGATATTTCCCATGTTTACCTTTCCGAAAAAGCTCCCTCCTCGACATAAAAAAAGGAAAAAGAAAAAGAAGATGAACTCTGATGATGTTTCAAGTGATGATGAAGTGATGAAAGAGAAAACAAATAGTAAAATACAAGCAGACAGTGCAGTTCCTGCCTCTATGGGATTTGGAAAGAATGTTAAAGGTGAAGTTTGTTTTTAATTCTTAAATACTTTACATTTTCTATACAGAGTTATCAGGATTGTATGAGTAATTGAAGGCAGAGTTTTGACATCCTGTATTTAATAGTATGTCTTGCTATTGAGATTTTAATAGATGGTCATCCATTTACTTGAATTAGTGAAGTGCTTAATGTGCACCTGTAACAAACAGTTAGCCTATTTCCTATAGTTATAGGACCTCTTTTACCAGACATATTTGTACACCTTACAGTTTATAACTGTCATACTTGCTTTAAGTTGCCCTTCATAGAATAAAGTGAAACAAGTGAAAAGAACTCTAGTATGTGAGTTCAATTGCGTTCACACATTTGGGTAAGCTAATTAAGAAAGATGATTTGTTTCATGCACCTTTCCTGGCTATTTTGCACTGCAGATTATTTATTTGCAGAAGGTTAGGACAGATTAAACCTGTGTGAATTTTGAAACATGAACAGACCAAACGATAGACAAGTAATAGATACTTTTATTTTACTCAAAAGGTAAACTGTTAATGTGAAATCTAACAGGAACTAGTAAAAATTGATAAAATGCTGCAGAAGGAAGGGCAATGTTGTTAAAAATTAATCAGTGTGAAGCATATACATTTGGAGTTGACAATACAGGCTTAACAGTGTCATAATATTCAATAGCATAGGACAAGAATACATGTGCCTTACTGCTGTTGTGTTGCCAATGCTGTTGTGTCCTCCTTGGATTCCATTATTCAAATGCTGCTTGTGCCATTTTGTGGTAGCCTCATGAATGCAATGAGACTAAGAAAAAACATGAAATGTCATTTGTACCATTAGATGTAATTTAAACTCAAAACTTTAAGTGTTTATTGACATGAACACAGGTGTAACTTTTTCATTAGGTATCAGTCCAGGATATAGTCATTGGCAGATTTTTTAATGGTGCATTTATGATCTCTCTTTATATCGAGTAGGCGAGGCTTAGCAAAACCAAAGACTAAGACTAAGACTAAGGCTAGAACCAGTGTAATTCTGAGTGATGTTCACCCACGTGCATATTGATTTGCTCTACATTGCATTTATATCTGTACTTTCAAGGTACCTAAAGTTAGTGTTAAAGTTAATTTCTATGGAAGTAAATTAAAAATAGGAGACTAGAATTTTCTTATTTATTAGCTTACAGAACAGCATCTTAATCAAGGCACAGAGCAAGCAAGGTAAACCTGCAATATCGGATCTTTCAGAACCAAGTTCTCCCTTTGTTTGAAAAGTAGCTAAAAAAGGGGTGGAGAAGGAAGAAGAGCATGTTGTCTACTTCCTTCTTTAAGACTCTCTATTCTCCATATTTTTGAGTCCCTGTATATGATGCTTTCTCCTAAATCCATAAAGCTACTTGTGGTTTTATTTTTTTTTTCCTTCAAACCTACAGGCCTCTGATTAGCAGAAGTAGTTCAGGGCTGCTCTGTCAGGGTTTTCTCACTAACTAGGGAAGTGGTTAGGGGAGTTCAGTCTTTGCTGGGCTACCTCCTAGTAATTGCAGGCATAGTCACAGCAGGGGGGCTACTTCATCCTGCAAATATTTCTGGAAAACATACAGGTATTCTGCATCTGAATGAGTTTGCTGGTGCTGGTTCTCTGTTTCTGTACATAATTTCACCTTCCAGGTTTTGTTGTCAGTACAGGCACATCAGATACACAGAAAACAAGTATTCTCTTAGGAGAATACTTTCCCAGTACTTTTTTCACAGAAATCAAACCTTCTGTATATCTCATTTTTGATGTTTCTTTGATATGTATCTGCCTAAATGTGTACCATACCTTCTACAAAATCACGTACTAATATATTCAAGGATCTACCGAATTAGAGCTTTTCATACACAAAACTTTTAATTTTCTCTAGAGGAGACACTTCAACAGTGAAGCAGCCTTGTAGTCCATGTGTCAGAAAGATACTAAACAAGTCAAGATAATGCAGAGAAAAGTATTTTGCTGTAAGCTGGTAATAGCTTTCCAATTAGGTGTCATTTACCTTAGCAAAGAGGGCCTGCAGCAGGCATGCACTC